CAAAACAGTTGAATTTTAAAAGCGCGGTTATAAGATCTAAAAGATCTTCTTGTTACTAAAATGTTCACCTCTTTGGAAAGCCACTGTATATAAATTCAAAAATAATATACACTCATGCCTTATAATTCATAGTCTGAGAACGCATAATAAAAAGCCTACTGTTTTGATAGATGGGAACAACAAACCGCTGTGGAAACAAAGCAGCCTCTTTACATTGGTCAAGACTCCTAAATGTTCACAATTCCAATTCCCTATTAAATATATCATTTTCTTATTTCCGTAAGACAAAATCGAGTGTAGATTCTGTTCAAAAGATTCTGCAAAGTCCTCCGAAATCAGACACATTTGGTAACATGAAGGTTTAGGTTCAAACACCAGCATGCCGTCATTAGATGATTCTCTTCGTCTTCTTCCTGCTGTTGCCAATGGACCTTCGATCAAGTCATACTCCGTTAAAATCTGCTGTGTCTTTGCTGATGGTTTTCCCGACCTAAATGAAGCTACGACCTCTCGACAGATTTCTAAGCCTTGTGGTTGGTCAGTCAAAGTTAGTTTGCGAGTTTTGCTGTTCAAGAACAAGCGATCATTTACCCGGAAAACAAAGGTGGCGGGCTTTGATATTGTAGTGCTGCTCGCTCAACTTAATGCATCGTTCACACGAAGTCTCGTTTCTTTCGTCCCGACGCCAGATGTATGCTCCGACCGCTAAAGATGTCATTTGCACTTTCGTGATCTGCGCTGTGAAACAGTAAGGTGTGTTGTTCGTCTACAATTTTTCTCAGAAGCAAGCCAGTGGCGAGGGAAGGTTCCGATTCCTCTATCACGACATTCACAATGTTGACTTGAAAAAAGTCATTATTATCATTCGAATTCCATTCCGCCATTGGAAGCTTAAACCACTCGTTCGTTTTATTACTTTGAAAAGGGAATCTTGCATTCCGCTCAGAAATTAAGAGAATACATTTGAACTCATCTTTAATAAAAAGTTCACCGACTCGCACGCATTTATGTGTTGTCGCAAATTGCGTGCAACCGCTAAAATTGTTTCAGCGGTTGAACTCAGAGGATCGAATCCAATAACATCA